TCCTTATGAAAGCTGGAAGCTCAATGAGACCGAGAGGAGATACACGGTCCATGAGAAAGAGATAACTACGGTTGTCCACTGTTTGCGTACATGGCGACATTACTTACTTGGGTCCAAGTTTGTGGTGTTTACCGACAATGTTGCCAACAGTTACTTCTTAACCCATAATAAGTTGTCACCGAAGCAGGCTCGTTGGCAAGAGTTCCTTGCCGAGTTTGACTTGTCCTTGGAGCACAAACCAGAGAAAGTGAATTCCGTTGCCAATGCCTTAAGCCGAAGGTGTGACATGGAGTTTACGAGTTTGCCGACGGGACGGATACGAAAGCATATCAAAGAGGGGTTGTCACATGACCCGATAGCCTCTTCATTGATTGAGCTTGCCAAGGAGGGCAAGACTCGAAAGTTTTGGCTAGATGGAGGCTTGTTGTATGCTCGAGGACACCGCCTCTATGTGCCACAATTTGAAGGATTGCGAAAGGAGCTCATAAGGGAATGCCATGATTCCAAGTGGGCGGGACATCCGGGATCCACCGGACTTTGGCCTTAATAGCAGAGCACTATTATTGGCCGCACATGGGCAATGATGTTGAGGCCTATGTGAAGACCTATCTTATGTTCCAGCAAGACAAGATAGAGCAGAGGAGACCAGCTGGATTGTTGTAGCCTCTGCCTATCCCCGAGAAACCATGGGAAAGCCTTTCCATGGATTTCATTGTCGGTTTGCTTGTTTCCGACGGATTTTTTAGCATCATGGTCGTGGTGGATAGATTTTTCAAGTATGGGACCTTTATTCCAGCATCCAAAGTTTGTCCAGCCGAGGAGGCCGCTCGTCTTTTTCTCAAGTACGTGGTGAAGTACTTGGGTGTTCCAAAGATGATTATCAGTGATCAGGACACAAGGTTTACTGGGAGGTTTTGTAAGGAGTTGTTCAAATTGATGGGATCAAGCTTAAACTTCTCGAAAAGTGTTCATCCACAGACGGATGGGCAAACCGAGAGAGTGAATGCACTCATAGAGACCTACTTGAGGCACTATGTTAGTGCTACGCAACGTGACTGGCCAAAATTGTTGGATATAGCCCAGTTTTCCTATAATTTACAGAGGAGTGAAGCGACCAATCAGAGTCCATTTGAGATTGTTACCGGGCAGCAGCCGCTAACACCAAATGCGGTTGTGACCGGGTACCAAGGGCTGAATCCAACAACATACCAATTTGCCAATGAGTGGCAAGAACAACATGAACTAGCCCGAGCTTGTTTGCACAAGGCCGAGAAGCGGACCAAGAAGTGGGCGGATCGAAAGCGTCGGGATATAAACTTTGAGGTTGATGACCTAGTCCTTTCCAAATTAAGTGGTATTTACGCAACCCATGTCACAAAGGGCTTGTGCGAAGATACGAGGGGCCATTCAAAGTTTTGAAGCGAGTAGGCACCATGGTCTACAAATTGGAGTTTCCTTCGACCATCAAAGCTCATCCTGTGTTCCATGTGAGTTTGTTGAAGCCATACCATCGGGATGAGGAGGAGCTATATCGAGGCAAGTCACACCGAGCGCCAGTCGGGGTAAAGGTCTCATACGAGAGAGAAGTAGAAGCTATCCACGCAGAGAGAGCCGTTCATGGAGTGGGAAAACGACCAAGGCATGAATACCTTGTTCAGTGGAAGGGACTTCCATAGAGTGAGGGAAGTTGGGAACCTTCCGAAGCCTTGTGGCAATTCCGAGATAAGATAGACCAGTTTCACTCTAGTCGCGCAACGAGGACGTCGCTAGAACTAGTGGGGGAGAATGTCACAGACCGCCATCCCAAGACCGAGCCCAGTTCGTTCAAGGCTGCCAGACACTATCTTTGCCATATTTTGGGCCTTCTAGAAGACCCAACAGAGCTTGCCCATCCACCTTGGAGAGAGAAAAGGTATGGTAATTATTTAAAATTATCTTAGAGATAATTTTCACTAATTATCCTTTAATTTAGAGTTGTAGATAGAGTAGGGCTCTTTTCTGACCGTTGATGTAATTTAATCTTAACGTTGATTATAGGGGGCTCCAACTATAAAAAAGGCTCACCCCCACTTCATTTACACACTTCAGATTGAGGAATACAAATTAGCATTCACTCTAAACTCTCTCTTCTCCATTTGAGCGCCCATCTCTTTATTTTTCCCATTTCCTTTGTTTTCGCAATGATCTAAGCATTCTTGTTTAGTGGAGGTTTGGGTTACTTAGCCGATTTTCGACCTTGAAAATGACTAAGTCCGCACAAGCTTGCTAGCAGTAGTCTAGGCACGTGACATTATGCTCTGGCCCGGCTACTCTTTCAGGACAAGTAGATTCTTTTTGTGATTGAGAAACGTAAACATCCATTTCTGAAAAGCCACTGGTCTAGGAACTAATGACAATATTCTTTCTCTTTGAGAAAGCACAAGCTGTGAAACCAATGGCACGTATAATTTGTGTAAATAATATCATACAATACCTATAATTGCTATTTTGAACTTTGAGAATTCGTTTGTCTTTCACCTACGATAATTGCTTCTCTCACTAAACTAACTAAGCCACTGCGGGGATAACTGGAAAAATAAGATGAAACCTACTAAGCACTAGTTTGGTTGCCTTTTAAAAATCAATAAAATAACATGAATCCATAGGACTTTAAACTCTGATAAATGAGAATCGCATTGATTAATCGACTAAATCAAAACTTCACTTCAATGGAACAATTGCTTGTCATCAACATGTCAGTCTGCGTCAACAACACGAAGGGTTCTATGATAAAACAAGATCAAAACATAAATACAAACAAGTGTTGGAAGGGTCCATCTTATTTCATGGACTAGTGACTTTTGAGAAGTGGGTGTGTTTTATGGTTATCAATCTCAAAAGGACTCTCTACTTGATCTGAAAAAATAGCTGTGCCAAAGTCTAATGTATGCTTTTATCTCCATCAGACATATCTGATATTCAGTCCAACTGAGCTATCCCCACGGTTGTTCTAGTTTCCCCAATACTTTTATAGAACAAAAATTCAATTGAAGATTTCACGGATAAATACGCCAGAGTTTCATGGCTTGTGCTTTCTCAGAAGACAACAACATTATCTTTCGTGACGATTCATCTCTATTTAGATTATTTTTCTATTCCCAATTGTTTCATGTAAGTTATAGTTTAAGTTCTCTTTTTCTGTTTTAATGATAACTATTACTATCACAGATAATATAATCTCAATACATTTAAAAGATCGTACAAAAAAGTATCCTAATTAATATAATTGATGTATTGGAACGACACCTCTTGAAATTAACACGATCTCTCTAAAAGATCGTACACTGAAAATTTTTAAAAGGTAACACCCCTAATTAATAAATTGTATTTATAATACTCCTAAAATAGATCTAGTAATTTTATAGTTTTAGATTATCATAATTTATTTTTTGGTGCTCAGATTAGGACTTCGAGTTAATAAGTTAGGAACAATCCTGAATCAATTAGATCTAATCTTGAAAATCTTTGAATAAGGATTAAATTGCAAGAATTGTACATTTAATAGCTTGGAAAGGAAGCAAAGCTTGGAAGCTCATTTTTGTGCATGTAAAGTCTGAGGACTAAAGCTCTAATTCACCTAAACTCTTTAGAGGCCGTTTGGTTCACGGTATAATGCATTCCTGGAAGGACTGTTTTCCCCCCAGATAGATATACCCACATTTGGATGGGGGCACATTACCAAGTGCCGGTTAAAAACTAATACCAACAATAAATTTTTTCCTGTTTTCCTGGGAATGTCTATCCCCTATCTTCCTTAGGTATTTTATGATTCTCGTCCCCATTGTCTAAAATAGCCTTCTCCCTTTATTTTGCTTGATTCTGTGAAATTCCCACCGCGGTCGCTACTCCTCCTGAAAGCTGATTCTCTGAAAGCTGAAAACGATCAAGCAATTATGTGAGTTTACATATCTACTTTTCCTTTGTTTAATCTTCAATTTCTTAGATGTTTCTCCTATGTTTCATCTTCCCCAATTTCTGTTCATTTTCTGATTATCATTCAGTCTTGTTCCTGGGTTTCCCCTTTATTGATGATCAATTGTTTTGCTCTCTGGTTTTTCTTTTTACTTGTTTATCTTCATCCTTAGTTGATTTGCTGGTCTGTGTTTTGTTTTGTGCTTGAAGCTTGTTGTTATTTTGCTTGAACTTAAGTTATAATTGATGGTTTACATATCTTTTATCTTTTATGAAATTTTCTACTATAATTTTTTTTATCTTTTATTTTGAAATAAAAGAAAAACAGTCTTGCTAAAAGTTCAATGTCCATAGTTCATATGTGATCCCTTGCTAACAATAATAATAACAAATCGAAAATAAGGTGAAAAAGAAATAAAGAAAAAAAGATACAAAGAGAAGTGCAAGTGCAAGCCTGGGATTTAAGGTCTGCACAAGCTATAGCTTAAACTACAATCTTAATCTAAATGAGCAATGTATCGTTTAGAGAGTGCATAAATACTTCTGGACTGCTTCAAATCTCTCTGACATCAAAATTTAAGGCGATCTGGTCCGAAAGACATGTAACATTGCGCCTCTATATTAGTTCATCAACCTCTTCCTCCATTCTCTTTTGGCAAACTCCCAACTATCATAAAAATGAATATAGAAACATGAAATTTATATGAGTACTGCTAGAACAACATTCAACGGTTCAGTAACTAATTACAAAGACATCCTTTTCCTTGGTTCCTTCATCCAAAGTCCTTGAAAAGAACCTATACAAAAATGAAGGTTAATTTCAAAGAAACAAACCCGAGGCTGAAGCAAAAGTTATTTACCCGACTTTGTTTGGCCGAGTTTACTTGAACACATGGGAGTTATCTAAAAGATACCTGCCATTTACTATTCCCTGTAAAGCAGTTTAAACTTGGTAAGTTAATTGTACAATGTCATTCCATATCAAGAGAAAGAAGAGCCATATTGAAGGCAAGAGCCTTAGTGTGTTCATGAATTCTGCTGTCTGACTTCTAGTCAAGAATATCATAGAAAACTTTTAGTTTTCTGTAATCTGTGATGCACAATGCCTAGAACCAGAAATGTACTTTTAGACGTTATCGACCGGAATATATATAGGATTATTATCTGAGACACGTTGGTAAAAGTTCATGACAAGCGACCTACCTGCATTGCAAGAGCTATGTGCATTAAAGTGGGTTCTGACCATGGCTTCCCTATGAATTGAAGGCCAATTAGCAAACCAGCTTTGTCATAGCCAACCTATGTAAGCATGGAGGATTTGATATCAGTAGACGGTAAACATCAATATAAAAACTTCTATGATTAGTGGTGGTAAGTTAATTACGGGAACGGTGATCGCAGGTAGTCCCAGAAAGTTTTCGACGATATGATATCGAATAATGTTAGCTAAAATGATAGTAATATGGCCAGCTTCTTTTGTCATGAAGATTTAGACATGAATGCATACTTGAAAATGTGTTGTAATTTCATTACCTCCGTTTATGTAGTCAAGTTCACCAGTTTTTAGAGAAGCTTTGGATATGGGGTATGTTATCATACTGTTTTGAAAAGAAACTGGGTAAATACAGGAATTGCAAAGTTTAAGTAAAAGACTGAAGGTGAAAAAAGTACAAAAAAAGTAAAAGATAGAAGAACAAATGTAAGCTGTGGCGGTGAAAAAGAATCTACCTTGTTGTTGGAGTGACTATGACTTCTACCTTGGTGAATATTTTGTTATGAATCTGCATATGGCAGTACCTGCACATTCTTGGTCAAGCACCTTAGTTTAAACCATTTCACGATAAGTGGAGAGGACTGATTTTAATATAAAATTGTTGATTGGAAAAATTAGGTTGTCCCAACTTTTTTTGTGTAGCTTAGCCAAGCATATGTCAATATTTTGACTTGAAGACTTTTGTGAGTATATAATACAGCCTACATATATGATTACGTTTAGAATGTCATGTCTATTATCTTTTGTAAGTCTGGACATTGTACAATCTTTTGATGGTTAATGTTATACTTCTTTTTGTTATATAGTATATGAGTTGCAAGTAATGTGCTAGTTTTCGAATATGTTAATTACTTTTGATAGTTTTTTTATGTAGTAAAAACCTTGTCTTTGATAGTTAAGAGTTATCACTTTCTTGTGTGTCACAACTTATCGGTAGTGAATATTGGAAGTCTTTGATAGATGGTGTTGCATAGACAAGTAGAGCAGCGTACTGGATCAGCCACTGAAATTGTCTGTAACTGGTTCATAAAAAACATTGTGAAGGATATTTCTGGTGCTGGAATTGTGTTTTACACCTATGCACAAATGCTTCAAAAGCACAAGGCCAGTTGGGGGATATTTTACCGAGTCAGTCACTGATCTTGGAGAACTGTAGGCATCTGTCCGCTATTGTTCATGGTGCAAGGGCCACAACTTTTCCTGGAATGTGCTAGTTGCATAATGATTCCTTTAGCTAATGTAACAAAACCGAGAGGCATCGGCCATAGCACCACTTCAACAAAGCCATATTTTGAATGGAAAGAGACAGAAAGAGAGCAAACAATGATAAGGTAAATGAGTTCCGACTTCGTATATACTGTATATTCAGATACGAGGATGAATATATATCATCTATGGAAGAATTTAGAGACAACTAAATATGCCCAGGTATATATTGAATATGAATATTTCAAGAAAAATGGAGAAGAATAACATAGCAACAGCATAACCAGTAAACAGAACTACTATGGATTTTCTTCATTGATGCAACATACCGACCTTTTAGAAGAACTGCATAAAGTAATAATTAAGAGGGGAGGATGTTGAGGAAGGGCCAAAGAATGTATGAAAGTCTAAAGGGCTATCATTAACAAACAAAGTTGTCAAAATTTCAGATAGATGTACAAGTTGCTTGAAACATCACCCACGAAAATCTTAATTCTCCATGTTTACCCAAACTCTGCTTCCCAACTTTGAAAGAGGCTGATTGATAGCCATGTGCCCATGAAAGAAATAGATGATGGCTTATGTTTTGCTGCATTTCCAAAAGATCAAATTCAAGTTAGAGTGCCATTCTGCAAATATGGTCCAAGTATGTTTAAATTGTCCATGGAAATGCAGGCAGCTAATATACATCTGGAGCACATGTATTGAATGAAAATACTACTGCACCGTGCAAATCTAAGTGCCATCATAAGAACATAGCTCTGATAATATGCTTAATGAGTCGACAAGCCATAAGCTCCAACTATAATTTTTCCAAACACTAACGGGAAATCATTAGAAGCTCCTATAATCTTTTTACTTCAACAAATTTCCGGAAACTTACCGAACTCCATATACCTCATCTTTTAATACCAGAGTTTTACATTCACTAAGCTCAAAGAACTAGCATCACATACATTCAAAAGTTTCCACCTTTGTACTTGATACACATGAAATATTGGTTCTCACCACCTTAATCTCGCAAGATTGACTACCAACATAGTTGGACTCTTTGAAAGACATACAAACTAGAAGCATAGAACATATAAATGCATTGTTGCAAATAATAATAATATAGGCCTTGTTCAGTATACTGTGTTGATCGAGAAGTTAACTAAAGCTAAAAACAAACAAAACAAATCTAGCTAACTTTGTCCAGAATATACCTTCTTCGCTTAGTATATTGGGTTGATCAACCAAAAGTTGGTGAAGTGCACCCAGATCACCGAACTGCAAATCAAGGAAACATAACAATTACAAAGCCATGGCTTAAAGAATGTTGTAAAAGTAATTCCCTTCTTTTAGGAAGTTAAATAAATTTATTTTAACAAACCAAGAATCAAGTGAATAAAAACTCATATCTTCATGTGGGAAAGGATAAATAACATAATAAGCACAAAATAAGTGGAAATAAGCTCTTGATAATTTATTGCATGGAATTATGATTATGAACTTTCATTACACTGTATTTGTCATCTTGTTCAACCGAATAAATTCATGTGAACACTTTTATGGATTACAAAGTCATCCAAGAAGATTTTAATGAATTAGCTAGCTACATTTTGTAATGTGGTTCTCGTTATAATAAAATAAAAGCTGATAATCATAATTCCTCAAAATAAAGATACAAAGTTTGAATTTTAATTTACATTTATATTCTTACTCAAGTATTATTGTAGATGCTCATTTTGTCAAGGCTTATAGAAAATTACTTGCGACCCAACTCGTACACAAGACAGTTGAAGGATCAATTCAAGTCCAAGGATCCAGTAGAGCAGCCTCCATTCCACGTGAGAATTCCCTGGAAAATAAAGATGGTTATGGGGAGTTAACAAGCATGAAAGAGAAGTTAGTGAATACCGGGGTCCATGATCAAGAAAAAAATGGTAAATGGGAGTTTTTAATTGAATTAACCACTAAAGAACAGGGAGAAATTATCAAGCATCACAGACAAAAAAACAAAAAAAAGGAGATTACACACAGAAAACAAAATCGGAGAGAGATATCAGCAATTGAACACCATTACGAAAACCATAGAGCATTTTTTATTTTTTTATTTTACACAATAGAGAAAGAAGGAAAAACGGTGTGTAATTTTTTCCCATACTAAAAAAATCAAACGGTGTAACAAACGATTCAGCCTTCTTTTCCGAAAAGTATTAGAAGGAATCTTGGAAAGTAAACAGGGGCTTCCATTTTGATATACAGAGCATACAAGGGAATATTATTCAAGAGGTATTCAACCATTTCCATATTTCAGTAACTATTTTCCATTATTATTAAAAGCATGTTCGAACCAAACAAAATGAAGAAGTAGAGAGATTACTTACCCTTAGTCTTAGAGACCATCAGTTCGTGTCGTCGGGATTGAGAGATGAGTAGTTTAGGTTTCTGTTTTGAGTGGTCAGAGTAGAAGGCCGTGTTGAATGGAGAGTGGCCACCGACGAACGGTGGCTGGTGTGAAGAACTTGAAGCTTTCGTAGGAGTAGAGGGAAGTTTGAGAGAAGGAGAGCGGCTGAAGGTTCTTTTTTGCGTGAGATTAGCTTAGGTTTACTTTAGTTTAGGTTTTATATTATAACTTTAGGGTAATTTGCTCTCATGCCCCTATGCTTTAGCCGGATATTTCTACTTTAGTCACCTTTAGGACTGGTTTTGAATTTACCTTTTTGTTGTTTGTCCTGATTTTGATGTTTTCCCAAATTTAGGTTGTAGTTATAATTTTCGGGTTATTTAGTTTTAAGTCCTTCATAGTTTTTTTAATCCTTGTTTTAATTCGATTTATATGCCTAATTTTCATTTTATTTTAATTTAGTCCTTAATTGAATTTGTGAATAATTTGAATCTAACCCCTGATTATTTTGTTATTCTGATTTAGTTTCTTTTTTAGATCTATTTAGCCAAACTTTAAAAATTATTTTTTATTATACTGTACATACAGCAACAGAACATCACTTACATGTCATAATGCATGTGTTTATTGAACGTGTCGCTTTATATTATATATTATGTATATATTTTTGATAACTTATGCATATTGTTTAATATAGAAAACTATTGTGTTATAAAACACGTGGGTGCATGTACTTTGAAAGTAGTCATTTAATGCTATAATATATATATATATATATATATATAAATACTCATTTTACAAAGACTTGATTGCTTGCATCTAGACGTGGCCATGATATTTTATTAGTATGGTAACCTCATTTGCATAACTCGACATATTACATAATTGGATTAAGGGTAATACACTTTTAATTTAAAATTGTTTTAAGTGGGTTGTCATAACGCATTTGAGGTCTACTTTGAAAGATTTTAAAATAAAAGTGTATCTCATTAGTGACGCCTTAAAATCGATCCATCGCTTTAAAATTTGGGAATGGAAGAAAAAGAAATGTTCGGCTATTTAAATTTATCAAGAAAAGGTTGCTATAGCTTTTAAGATCTGGTCTCGATATTTGTAAATAATCAAACATTCTTTATCTTTCTAAAACGACTTGGTAATTTTAATTTAATTTATTTGGGTGCTTTTGAATATTATTAAATTCACATCTTTGTTTTATGGGATCAAAAATCAAATTAAGTTCGAATTTGTAAAGTTCATTGCAAAGACATTAATTAATCGACTAGGTACCGATTTAGGGCGTTGTGAGGGTGCTAATCCTTCCCCAAACATAACCGACTCCCAAACTCATTTTTTGGTAACGTATATCACAATTTGTTGTTTTAATTAAAATTAATTTTTACTTAAAATGACAAAACATTTGTGGGTGCCCAATCACACCCTAATCAAGGTTGGTGGCGACTCTTTGAACCGTATTTTTTGCTATCTTAAAGGAAATCCAAAAATTTTCAAAACGAGAGTCTTTTAAATCGTATTTGTTTTTAAATTAAAAATCAATTGAAAGAGGATAATTAAGAATTAACGTGGTTTTTAAAATCTCACTTTTAAGAAAAAATCGTTTCGACAGCTTGGCGACTCCGCTGGGGAAATTTTTTAGAGAGTCAGGCCGATAGTCGATTAATTAAGTGTCTTTGTAATTGAAAGATATAAATTTGTTATAATTTGGTTTTTTGATCCCTTGTTTGGTTTTAATATTTTTTATAATTTTATTAACCATTAAATAGTTGTACCGATCTGTTTGCTAATGGTTTCAGAATAATTGTGTGTTTTGGGAATTGGTTTTGAGTTTTTTATTGTTTGTTTTTTCGCTTTTCATCACACACTACACATCTGCATTTTCATGACATGATCTAAAACCCCACTCTGTCCAAATTAAGCAGGAGTGAGAGACTATGCCCTCGTATGCTTTTCACCTCCGTATGGGATAGTGGATCGCTCCTAGAGCTCACGCCTTATGGTCCTCGTGATGGTAATCACCTCCGCATGGACGTAAGGAGGTGTGTTCCTCTAAATTAAACTCGATCCCCTAAAGCCTATGATGGGATAGGATTAAGGGTTCGATAGCCCAAGGGAGAACCGGCAAGGACAATTCGAGAACCTATTACTTTAGAACCGAACCCAACATATAGTAAACATAGAGCCCAAACTTAGGTCGAGCCTAACCCAAACCTTAAGAGTCCCTTGAGGAGGGTACACAAGGAAAAGCTTTTTGAGTCATTTATTTTCGTTTTTCGAATAAATGCATACGAACTAGAAATCATGCGGTTAGGTTTATTTTTCTCGAACAAGCATGCAAATTAGATATCATGCGGTTAGGATTTTATGAATAACAAAGCATGGGGTAGATATCATGTTGAGTAGGATATACTAAAGCATGATTGGGTAGTCTGCATGTAAGGGTAGGTTTTATTTAATGATTATGATATTTATTATTTTGTTACTGATATTATGTGTACTAATCCATTTTGTTATAAGTCTATTTTATTTTGATTTTATTGCATTTGCATCTTCATGTCATCCAAAGGTGTTAATTCGCAAGTGATTGACTAATAACAAGGCAGGTCACAATGAGACAAGAAATTCATAACCATGTAGTCAAAATCAGGAGATTCAAAGATGTTCAAATGATCCATGAAGAAGGACATCTGATGAATGAAGAAATCTGAAGTTGATTGAAGACTTCATTTAAAAGAGTGAAGGCCAAGATATTCCCTTAGAAGATAGATATAGTTATACCAATGACGAGAATACCCTTCACAAAGACATGAAGACCACTTCGTATTGAAAGTAAAAATAGAGACCTCAAGATTCACTTTAAGGACATCCGACGTCATCAAAGGTGATAAAATATGGCGACAACTTTGGGTGCAATGTTAGATTCCATGAAGAGTACGACTCAAGGAAATTAAGGAATGAAGAATCACATTTATATATTTTGGCTACATGGTGTACTGAATTCTTGTTGTCTAAATGAAGGTTGTTCTATGGTGGTCACTTTTGGAATTAACACCTTGTGCATTTGCATTCGCATTTGTATTCTTATTAGCTTCAATTTATTTATTTTGTTATTGTTGTTTTTTTTTCATTTTGTTATCTCATTTGTACTAACTTGTTTCTATGTTGTTTTTTTCTCTTTGTCCGCATTGCATGATCATGACATATTCAAAAGGTGTTGATTTGTGAGTGGTCATCATAGTAAAAGGTTTTCATGATGGACAAGGGGTTTCGTGATCAAATAGACTATAACACAGTCAAGAAATGGCATCCTAAGAAAACTTTGAAAATAGTGGAGAGTTGCGCATATAAAGATCATATGTCTGACGAAGAGCACAATGAGATAAGAGAGATAAAAGAGAAAATGTCCAAGATGATGGATAGAATAGATGTTTTGTCCAAAGGAAGAGAGACTTCTACAAAATAAAAGAAGGAACTCAATGAAAACAATCTCGAGGTGTCAGATACGCAAAGGACTACTTTAGAACCTATTGATTCTAGTCAGTATGAGAAATCACGCACAATCATTGTTCGTATCAACAAGTTGTTTGGAAATGCCAAGGAAATACTGGCAACTGTAGAAGTTCAGAAGGATGAAAAGAAGTCATGCAGTCAGAACTCGTTGGTGTTTGATAGTCTACTCCCAACGTCAGGGGAAGTAAAACTTGAAACTCCAGTTCAACCCAGGTTGAGAGATGGTTCTCATTGTTATTCCATCCCAATATCATATAAGGAATTGTATGATGAATTGTTAGAAGGCCGAGAAGTGGTCCCGCATTATGTGAAATCTTTGCAGCCTCTATATCCAAGTTGGTATGACGTCAACGTTCGTTGTGAATATCATGCTGGGATTCAAAGACATTCTATTGAGAATTGTTCTACCTTCAAACGTCGAGTCCAACTTCTACTAGATCATGGAGTATTGGAGTTTGAATTGAAAGGACAACCTACTTTGGTAACAGATTATCCTGTTCGGTTCAAACCAAAAGTGACCAAAGGTAAGGGTATTAGTGAGGACATCCAGAAAGAAGATTGTTTGACAAAATATGAGGTTCAGATTCTCCATTTAAGAAGTGAAAATGATAAATTGAGTAGAGAGATGGAAGCCATACGGGATAGTTTTCAAAGGATCAGTCAAGCATTTAAATTTGTTGGTATAGGAAATGTCCCAGATGAGTGGATAATAGGGGTCACTAAACTTAAAAATGATGTTGAACAGTTGAGAAAGAATTGGAAGATGCACAAAGGTCGAGCCGAGAAGTTTTCTCATGATTTAAAATTTGCAGAAAAAAGACACAATATAGCTGTTGATAATTTGGGAAGATATCAGGCCTAAAATCAGATGTTGAATATGTCTATTGCCAATATGGAAATTTCATATCAACGCCACAAGAGGGAGAATGACGCTGAGTTAGAAGCCGTTAGATCCAAGAACAAGAAGTTGATGAAGATTGTGGATGATTATAGTG